AAGACAAATTAAAAAAACTTAAAATAAAAATTAAGTGAGCTTGATATTTATAAATTATAGGATTATCTGTTGTACAGTATATAGTTTATATGTTAATTTATTAAGAAAATTTAAATTTTTTTAGTATTTATTAAAAATAAAAATGAGTATTATTTATTTTTGTTCATTTGAATTGTTAGAAAAAAATGTATTTTTTTTAATTCTTAAAAAAGAGAGAAAGAGAGAGAGAAAAGCTTTAAAAAAAAACAAAAATGATTACTAGGAAAACAAAAAACCAAGAAAATTTTCTTAAAATAAGGTAGGTTATCTAATAGGAAAATGATAGGTGCACACCCGAGTGTGTACCCCCCGTATAAACAAAAAAAAAATGTCCATCACCTAGTTCAACTTTTTTTTTTTTATGTGGGGGGTGCACACCCGGGTGTGGGATCCGGGTGTGCACCAATCATAGTCCTATCTAATATATAGTGTGTTTGAGATTATTACGAGGTGTTGTAATTATTACTATGGCTATTATTGTGCTGAGTTATATTGTATTACAACTGTAACTAAAAGTTATTTTGATATTTGGTTATTTTTTAAAAAGTATTTTATATGAAATATGGTAAATTTTATTAATTATTAATTAAAATTTAAAAAAATATTGTAGGATGTATAATTATTAAAATAAATGATATTTAAATTTTTAATAATTTAGGTTTTTTAAATTTATTATAATTATTAAAATATTATAAATTATGATGTAATTAAATTATATAATATTAAATTTTAATAAGTAATTTTGTAATTATATTAAATATTAAATATTTTCTATAAAAATCACAATAAAAAATTCAAATAAAAATTGTAATTTATACATAAAATTACTATAAAACTATTATAAATTTTTTATAATTTAAAAAAAATCATTTTAAAAAAATTTAACAAACACATTTATATCTAGCACACTCCCAACCACACACACTTCTAGTCTACCAGCCTGATATGGCATTAGTAGTAATATGCTTGTACTCAGGGCATTTTCGGTATAAAATTGCCAATAATTCAGAAGTAACGTTTTCCAGCCATAATTTTCACTATCTCCTTCTATTACCCAATCTGGACCATTTGTGCAGAGCTGCGCTGCCGTCACACTCGCAGATTGGAAGGGCTCACACTCCTCTGTGTTGTCCTCCGATTACTACGCCGGCCGATTCAGTGTAGGTGATGGTAGCACCAGCATTTCTCCGGAACCGGAAACATACCTTTCTAAAACTGTTCCGTCCAATTAATGTCTTTTGCTTTTTGAACGATCAAGAAGTTTTCACGGCGTCCTGATTTTTGTTATTTGTTTTTGTTTCTAATTTTCGTTTGTTGTTTCTTTCTGCTCAGTGGCTGCCGATTAGATCCGTCGGAGCTGTTATCGAGAATGTCCACACCTACTGCATTGGATCTCGCTTCGGGTCTCGGTGGCAAGATTGACAAAAGCCAAGTCCTGTCCGCCGTCGAAAAGTAATTTACCAGTGGATTTGTCATTTGCCATTCAGAGTTTCTGCTATTAGCTTCTTTTACTTCTATTATCCTGCTTAAAATAATTTCTGTGCTTCAAATTGCTTGCGGATCGTTACAATAAACTTAATTTGACTTATTAGGCATTTAGGAAAGGATTTTTTTTTTTTTTTTTAATAGAAAATCTTCATTTTTCCATCTACAATTGCATCAAAGTTCACTACTATGCACTGAGCTGCTTTGTTTATTTTATATTTCCAGTTATTTTGTGATGTTGTTGAAAGCATCATAAGGTGACGTTTGATAATTTCAGTCTTTCTCTCTCTGTCAGTTAAACATTTTTTTAGTTTTTTGGGCTTAGAGAATAGGGGTCGAATTCTAAATGTGTGGTCAAGAGTAGGAAACATGAGTTTCTATTAATTACAAAAGTATAATTGGCATTACGCTGTCATGCACGTGAGTTAAAAGGTGTGTTTGGTTCCAGTTATTCACGTGGATAGTACTGTTTTATTTTAAAAGGAAGTGCTGTGCTGATAATTTTTCTTTGTCCAAACACGCCCTTAGGATACAGCTAGCGAGTTGGAATGTCTCTCATTAATTTCACTGGTGTGAAGCAATGTTGGGTCCTACATGCCAACTAGACTGAATCAGCACTCAACAGTACTTGTTTGATTAATGTGTATATATTTTTTTATTTACCTACTCTACAATTTTATGAGGCATTAATCTTGCACCATGTTGGCCTGTACCCCTTTTTTTTTCTTTTTGTTTTTTAATCATGGAAAAATTGGGGAAAGGGGAATTTTATCACGAGAATTTGAATCATGATAGTACCCATAGCCTAAGATGCGCACTACCATTACAGCCACTGCTGCGGATGCTATGTTGGCCTATACATGGACCTATTTCCTCCTATGATTTTAATTGTATCTTCTTCATGAGAACGAAAGTCCCACAAAAAAAAAAGAAAAGAAAAAAAAGAAGAAGACAAAATGCTGGCCAGTTGGTAAGGTTTGGTTTGCTTGCTCTAAGTTAAGAAAAGATTTTTTTAACGTTACAGAATAGATAGATGTGCATGGCCTATCAGCTTCATTGTAGGGATGATTTTATGCTTGCATGGTGGATATTCCTGTAGTTTCCTTGAAAATTTTGTACATATTTTTGCTTGAACAGTTGAACTTGATCTCATAGCTGTGAGGCTATCTTAATTTTTCAGGTATGAGAAATACCATGGATTATATGGTGGAGATGAGGATGAGAGGAAAGCTAATTATAGTGATATGGTAAGATGAGCTTTCTTTCTTTTTCTTTCATCATCTTCTTCTTCTTCTTCTCCTTTCAATTTTCCTAATTTGGGCAGTACATGAGCATGATGCTGGTTGTCCATACTTTATATATTCTTCTTTTAGCTACTTATTATCAATTTCAATCATTTGATCTGACCCTTTTCTGCTTCTTATTTCCTCTGTCACATTCCATGTTATATTAATCTCAACTGGCTACGTGCAACTCTTCATATTATTTTATTTTGTTATAATGATTACATTATTTTCCTTTACTAGGCTAATAACATTAAAGACAGGTTCATTAGCTATGCAAATGAGTAAATTTGAAATTTTGAATATTGCATTTCAGGTCAACAAATACTATGATCTTGTTACCAGCTTTTATGAGTTTGGATGGGGGGAGTCTTTCCATTTTGCCCACAGGTGTCGCTCATTTTCTTAGGCATTCTACACCTGAGTGAAATGTTGTCTCTGCTTTTGCCAGTTCTGCTGGTAAAATTGGTCAAATGCTTAATGTTATCTTTGCAGATGGAAAGGGGAGTCTCTTCGAGAGAGCATAAAGCGACATGAACATTTTCTTGCTTTACAACTTGGCCTGAAGCCTGGTCAGAAGGTTTGTTACCTCTGTAGAGTATGGCAAACTGCATTTCTGGATTCTTTGTTTTGATTTTGGTCTGAATGTTTGACTTAAGCTTTTATTTGTATCTTAGGTGCTAGATGTAGGATGTGGGATTGGAGGACCACTTAGAGAAATTGCTCGGTTCAGGTCAATTGCAATTCACTCTTCCTCACTATTTTTCTTCATATCTTTTTTGTAATATAATCTTTTCTGTGACTACTAATGTTGATTATCAGTCGGGTGAAATGAAGATGAAGCTACTATACTGTTGTTTTGGTCAAACAAAGAAATTTTTTAATTTGAATAAGTCAATTATGTTGGCAGTATTATTTGGGATTTCCTTCCCTGTTTTTTGATGAATGGTAGGTGCTTTATTTGCCCTACCACTGATAATAAATTTCAGTTTTAATCTTTATACAATTCATGGAAAGCAGATTTCCTCATGACAATTGTTAGGTTTTAAAATGATCAGGTCCCAGTAATTGGTAAAATCAAATTCCATGTGAAGTGCTAATCCAAGGGTTGGTGTTACTGAGGTGGGAGGGTTATTATTTTGTACTCAACTGTGAACTTTTGGCAGTGGTTGATAATTCTATACAATCTGAGATATCTGCATCAATATATTTGTTAAGATTATCGTGAGCATATCAAGCAGATTTTAATTTGGTTCCTTTTCATATTCAGTAAATGATTTTTATAGAAAGTGGCTCTGAAGTCTGAAATCATGGTTCATTGTGATTTGCAGTTCAACATTAGTTACAGGGTTGAACAATAATGAATATCAGATAGCAAGAGGAAAGGTGCATGACTATCCACTTCTTTTTTTTTTTTTCTTTCTTTCTTTCCTTTCCCTTTTCCCATTTTTTTTTGTCAGACATATCGTGTACTTTGGAATAGAGAGATAACTATGCCTTTCAGGCTTTCAGCCTATGGATGAGCTAGTATTACTTGTCTGTTTGGTGTGAGACAACTTCAGCCATAATTGTGGAGTTATTTCATCCTTAACTACAGTGATCATAATGAGATTTTAACAATAGCTTCTGTTCTTCACCTTTTCTAGCCAATGATAATGAAGCATCCTATTTCTTCTTTAGGTTGTTTGGTGATCTATAATTATCTTTGCTGAAAATTGGATTTAGTGCTTATGAGGCTTTGTTGCTTCACAGGAGCTAAACCATACTGCAGGAGTGGACAAGACTTGCGACTTTGTAAAGGTTGGCAGTATTTTAAGTTCATTTTTCCCTTGTCTTTAAAATCAAATTTTCTTTGCATATTTTTCATTGCCTTCTTTCTATCCTTTGTTATCATCCTTTTAATTCACTAATTAAAACTTTTTGAGAGTTATGTCCTAAGATATAGGAAAATGGTCTGCTCCAACTGATTTTATTGTTTGTTGCTCTCCTCCTTCATTTTGCAGGCTGACTTTATGAACATGCCATTTCCTGATAACAGTTTTGATGCAGTTTATGCTATTGAAGCCACATGCCATGCACCAGATGCGGTATGCCAGCACATGATACTCCATTTTGATTATCATAATTATCATTTGGCCAGAACGTCAGTGTTAGTCTGACTATTTGATAATGTAGTACTTATTTACATAACTGACTTCTTTTTATGCCATGGATAGTATGGATGCTACAAGGAGATTTACAGAGTATTGAGGCCTGGTCAATGTTTTGCAGCATTTGAGTGGTGTATGACTGATTCTTTCGATCCCCATAACCAGGAGCATCAGAAAATTAAGGTTAGGCATTTTAATGGCATGAAAAAGACCTCTGTTGTGTGTCCATGAAATGATCTCACATCAAGTTACAATGATTACAGGCAGAAATAGAGATTGGTGATGGTCTTCCAGACATCAGGCTGACCGAACAATGCCTTGAAGCTCTGAAACAAGCCGGTTTTGAGGTGAGTTATTTGTTTTCTTTTTGATTTTAGGTTACATTCCTTTTGCATGGTTTTTTGTGATAAACAGTGTAAACGTAATTATTTCCTCCGGTTGGTTAAGGTCATATGGGAGAAAGATCTTGCTGCAGACTCACCTGTCCCATGGTACTTGCCTTTAGATAAAAATCACTTTTCATTAAGTAGCTTTCGTCTAACAGCTGTCGGCCGTTTCATCACAAAGAATATGGTGAAGATTGCTTAAATCCTGCTTCTTTTATTATTTTTATTTTGAAATAATTTTTATGGAAAATCCATTTTATTAGATGAGGTGTCTGCATTTCCCAGTGTTAAGCAGCTTACTGGTCATTTTCTATCCTTTGCAATGCAAATTTTAGGTCAAGGCTCTAGAATGTGTGGGACTTGCTCCAAAGGGAAGTCAGAGGGTTCAAGATTTTCTGGAGAAGGCTGCTGAAGGTTTAGTTGATGGTGGCAGGTGAGTTGTATAAAAATTGGTAAAAGTAAATTATATCAAACTCCCCACTCTCCCATACCCCTCAACTTTCTAGTTGTTTCTTTCTACTAAGTACATCCAAAGAATAGCAGTTGAGCCCTTTTTCTAGGAGGAGAAACAGCATACAATCTCCATATATTTGCTATTAGCCTTATTATAATACATAACTTAGTATGAAAATGAGACCTCTATGATATCAATTCTCAGAAAATATAAATTTGCATAGTCATCTAAACATACTGACACAATGCTGCAATGATTTTTCTTCTTCAGGAAAGAGATTTTTACACCTATGTATTTCTTCCTGGCTCAGAAACCACATTCAGAGAACCAGTAATGCGGTCACAAAACAAAGTAATCAGCCCACCGCTTAATGATATATAAGTATTCAAGGAGGCTAATAAGTAGTATAGTGTATTTATAAATGTGGTAGGCCATGGTAGGCATCTCCTGGTTTCTGAATTGCGTTGTGCATTTCCAAGTCTTTCCAAATTCCTTTTAAGCTGCTTGTTTTCATTGAGAAATATCACTAGCCCTTTTTTTGTTTTTGTTTTTTTGAATCATTCTAATTACGTTATCTAGTGTTACTAGTTTTCTCGTAACTTTATTATTTTAGGTAATTGCGTTCATCTGTTGATCAACGTTCAATTCTGGATGCGCTTGTCAGAAGGTAAAAAAAAAAAACATTTACATTTCACTTGGGATATTGCATTCATTCTTTCTGA